AGAGATGAAAAAATGGTCTTGTAAGTTAAAAGACTTTGACCTGCAGTCCTTAACCTTTTCTTTTTATTTATGCCCACCCATACCAAGTCTCTCCTCCAAACCTAGATTCTCTGAAGCCCAAAAACTCCCAACAGGCATTTCAGGCTCTATTTTCTATTACCCAGCCCTGTTGACCTTCTATCCCTGCAGTCAGCCTGTCTGACCATTCTTGCAAACTCTTGGACCTCTAATTTGAAAAGGTTATTGATTCTTGACATAAATCTCTTAAACTTGTGGAAAGGGAACTGCGCTAGAATAAGAAAACTCAACCTTTTACCAACTATGCTTCTTTTGTCACGGTCCTTCACCCTGTGAAAAGCAATTTTCTTTTCAACATGAAATGGAGATACCTCAGGTCCATCTTGCTCACTTTGCTTGGAAGGTAGGGTCCGTGGCTGGACAAATAGGCCAAAGCTACAGGACATCTGATCTGGCTATAGGAACAAAAGACTAAACAAGCCATCCGGGAGCAGGTTGCCTCTGACCTTTCTCACAGAGTGATCTGGAGAATTCTTACAAGGTGGTATTTATTAGTCTCCCTGAAGTATCTTGAAGATAGAGATTCTATGTCATGTTCATGTATTCTCAGTAACTAGCATAGTACCTGGCACATAGTCTCATTCACTAAATGCTGATTGATTATTAAGGGAGGTGGAGGTGTGCTTTCTAAGCTTCCTTAATAATAACAGCAGCTGATTGAGCACCATTTTGCATTCAGTGTCAGAATGCTCAGAGACTACCAGAAGTGATCCATGGTTTCCAACTGGAGTAACTTCTCATCTAGAGGGGATGATGGTGACATATTCCTTGGGGTTTGGGGGAAGACTAAATGAAAAAAAAATTCCAAAGCAAATGGTTCAGTTAGGTACATGATGAAGAGAGAAACAGAAGCAGGAAGAATGAAACCTGATTTCGTTTCCACTCCACCACCTGCTTCTAGTGGAAACTTGAAGAAGGTATGTGACTTCTCTTAGTCTCTTTCCTCATCTAAATCATGAGGTTCACAACACTTGTCCTGCCTCCCCCAATCATTTGCAATGATAAAGGGAGATGATTAAAGATAAAGGGGCCTACAAATGTAAGAAATTTAGTATTAATGGAAAGAACCATGGGCTGAGATTTCTAAAACGTGCCTTGGGCACCAATTAGCCTTGCAACATAAGTTCACTAGACACAGGTCCATACTATATAAAATGAAAGGGTTCAGTTAGTGTCTTTTCGATGCCTTTCTTATCAATAGTGATAGATTTATATAAATTCTCTTAATGTACATGCAGAAGTAAAATAATCACATATCTTTACTTTTAGGCCTTATGAGTACTAAGAAAATCTTGTCCATTCTGAATAATGTGTGAATTTACACAATCCATTCTGCTTTCCTATATGTAAAGAATTTAGCTATACTTAGTAACACTCCAGACTTTTAGCAGTTGTTCTCACCTCACTGTTAATGAGTTCAGTTCTGTCCTGTTATCCATTGTTGGTGAGATGGGAAGGGTGGAATAGATCAACATGGGCTTCACAGTTTTACCTAGGTTTGTCCCACAATTTGTGGATTCCTCTAGGGTATTCATTCACAAGAATGAAAATGTTGGCTCGGAACAAGAATTTCTAAACTCTGCAAACTTGACAACTACCTTCAGGTTCTTTGTTTCATAAATGTCACACCCATTGTATGTGAAAGGGCCCTTGGAGTTCCTCCCGTCTAGCATTTTTCATATGGGAAGCAACTTCTAGAAGACACAGTGATCTGAGAAAAGAAAGTCCAAAGTCCCAACAAGTTGCATGCTATTATTTGGTTGCCCTACCACGAGTTAATAAAAATCTGGCACTTGCCCATAATGTAGTGTTCACTGTGAAATCTGCCCTTTTGATTTCTTGCTTCCCCTGAAATAGAAGCAAAGATGTTCATTTTACTTCAGGTGTGACATTTTACAGCAGTTAGCACATTTAACTGAGAGGTGAAGCTGGGGTAATCATATTTGAGTTATTCAGAGCACTCCTTCTTGGTCCTGGCTGAGTTTATTGAGGACTTGTTTTATGCTAGCCACTGTGCTAAATGCTTTCTGTGAGTTGTATCACTTAATCATCCAGTGAGGAAGGTTATGACTTACAAAGCGCTGAATTTTACAGGGGAGGAAAGTGAAAGTAAGAGAGGTTAAGTAATATTCTAATGCTCCACAGAGTACATGGCAGGCCAGAGATGAATTCAAGCAGTCTAAGTTAACTACTCTTCATGCTTGGCACATGGTTGCTGGAACAAGAAGTAGATCTTGTCAATAACTATTGCAAATTCTCCAAAATTACCCAGGCGTATGGATTTGCTGGATGCCTTAGCACATAGCCATATGTGTGTGTGTGTATATATATATTATTTATTTTTGTAGATTTATATAGAAAGTGTCTAATATCTAAGTACTTTTGCCCTTCTTTACATTATTAGTCTATACCGGTGGGGGAGATTAAACCTAATATTTATTAGAGGGAGAAAAAGTTCTTTTTTTTTTTTTGAGACAGAGTCCTGCTTTGTCACCCAGGTTGGAGTGCAGTGGTACAGTCTCAGCTCACTGCAACTTCTACCTCCTGGATTCAAGTGATTCACCTGGCTCAGCCTCCCTCCCGAGTAGCTGGGTTATAGATGTGCGCCACCACACATTGCTAATTTTCGTATTTTTAGTAGAGACAGGGTTTCACTCTGTTGGCCAGGTTAGTCTTGATCTTTTGACCTCATGATCCTCCCACCTTGGCCTCCCAAAGTGCTGGGATTATAGGGTGAGCCACCTTCCCAGCTGAAAAAGTTATTTTCACAGCATCCTCCACATAGCAACTCTTCAATGAATTCCTGTTGAATTGATCCCCATTTTCTAAGGAAAATGGCACTGGATCAGAATGAGAAGATCCAGGTTTTAGTCCTGGTTTTAATAGAGATTCACTGTGAGGACTAGACCAGGTTGGTTTCTTCTCTGATCCTTAGTCTTCCCATGTCTAAAATGAGTCCAGAAGAGCCTACAGTTGGAGTATCCGCTGGGCATTCAAACCTATCTGACTGGCTAGCCTGGTGTTGTCAGGCTTCCAAAAGATCCATCCAGACTAGGGCTTAGGATGAGCATAGACTTCATCAGTGAGCGGGTAGGGAATTACAGGGATTTCGAAGCAACACTGTGTATCTTTGTATCTTCCTCCAATCTAGTCATTGAGAAAACTTGTGGTTAGATTCCTTGCCGGGTGCACTAATGCTCTGAGCATCTGCTAAAGGCAGGTAAGTAAGAACTGTACCACTTGTGCTGTGGTAAGAAACTAAAAGAGCCAGATTTGGGGCATCATACAAATAACCTTTCCACATAGGGTCCTACTCTAGAGACTGTTCAAGCACAGAACCCCCTAGGAGCCCGTGAGGGTGCAAGGAGCAATAGCCACACCAGCATGTTGGCCAGAGTGACCGAGTCAGGAAGAATGTAAGCAGTATGAATGGGGCAGAATCAAACTGAAAAGTTTCAACGTCGTCCCTCAGCACCAAGAGCAGTAACAAGAGCTGTGGCCTGCAGACCTCATGGCCCTTTGCATAACAGGAGGGAGCACTTTACAAGGACCTTAGGAAACTTCAGGTTCTGGGCAGTTAGCCATTGGCATCCAAGAGGGTCGAATAGGCCTGTCTTTGATTCTTCCTTCTTCCCCTTATCATCCTTCCCATGTGTCTCCATGAACTTGGTAAAAACCAAGGGAATACAGGTTGCAAACCCAAGAGAGGGCTGAGATTTATGCCGTGCATGGTCTCCACAGGTTCACATTGCTAGTCTAAAAACGCATTTCTGTCCTGTCAGACTCACTTCTGATAAGAAAACCTCTTAGCCTTACTTGATTACAGAAATAGTAGAAGTTTATGGACCCTCGTGTACAGGCTTAAATCCAAAATGCTCCAGTCTTTTTTGTAATTTTGTGTCAAACTGATTTGGTGGTACAAACCTGACAGGGTTCTATTTAGTCTTTATGTGCCTCACTTACTGGGAATATTCATGTTTGGTGGCAAAAATAATTCATGTGTTTGAGAGTGCCTCCAAAGACCCTGCTGTGGATAATAAGCAATTTGTAGAAGATAAATATTAACTACCTTTCTAAAGTTGGAAGAATGCTGACTTCCAAAAGCATCTGGCCCCAAGGATTTCAGACAAGCAATCGCGAACCTCTAAGTTGTTTTTCTTAAATCTGGGAGTATTTATTGATCCCCTAAGGAAACGAATGATTTGTTCAGTTCGTTCTTCTTACCTTACAAAGAAAACAAAGTTAGGGGAAGGAACAAGCAAAACAAATGTAAACTGTGACTCATACTAATAAGCTGTAGAAGAAGCTGTTCTGTTGGGATCCGAGTCTTCAAAAAGAGCAGATCTTTTGGAGGACAGATATCTGGATCTGTACCTTTCCTGCAATTAAAAAAAAAAAATCGGAGATTTCCTCGGGCAACTGCAATCCTCCTCCTCTCCCATTGCAGCCAAGCTGCTGATCAGAATGTGTTTGCAACTCACAGGACCATAGCGCCACCTTTCTTCCAGATTTGGAATAAATCTTCACACTGCCGGGTTTGGAATTAAATCACAGTACCAGCTCACTTGCCTGCTTATGCCGTTCAGTGAGTTAGACTTAGCAAGGAAACAGTTCCTTGACATTAAAATCATAAAGGAAGAGCTGCAAAGAGGGCAATAAAAAGTGTTTTCTTCTCTTGGTCCCTGAGCCATTAAATTGGTAACCTAATCTGATGTTAGGGACTATAGACCATAAACTCTGTGTTTAATTAGTTTGCACCCAGTGTCATTTTACACAGTAGACACTTTAATTTACAACTTGCTGCACTGCAGCACTTTTCTAGGCCTTTTACTATGTAATAAGGCATTCTTGTAGCTGCTGAGGCTTTAAAAATATAGATACACTTTCTTAGTTCAGATTTTTTCTTTCTTTTCAATTTTCAGTTGCAAATCAAACATGCAGTTACAGAAGCAGAGATTCAAAAATTGAAGACCAAGGTAAGCACCAAAACATGGTGTTTGAATTTTACTTTTTGAACTTCAGATACTGTGAATAAATTCGACCCTAGGACTAAAGGATTTGTCCCTGTACATTTGAAAGAATACAAATGTGAGAGATTCATTTTCACTGTTAGGTACATAGACAAACCTGCCAGTGAGAGCAAAAACCCATGTCCCCCTCAGTGAAAATAACACAATATTTTAAACATACATATTTATGTATTTGCACATATGTGGCCTCTGAGATTTCCTTAAAAAGTAATATTTTTAATGGTTTAAGCATGTTTTGATTACTAATTCCTTAAGCAAAGCTACTATATGTCCTCTTTACTTACCTTATTATAAATAGATTATATTTATATTTGTTTTTAGGAACAAATGTAGTATAGCACATCAATTTTTTATATATAAACAATTCCTAATTTCTAATAATTAAATATTATAAACTTATAAACTTAATACATGCATAATTATTTTAAGTGCCAGGTACTACTGGAAATTTTTAGTTGTTTGGTTCACATAAATTAAGTTTGTGTGGGTGAAAAGGTCTTGATAAAAGGGAGTATGTATTATTGGTCTATATATTTTAATTGACAAATTTTAACGCACTTATATGAGACACAATTCTAACAATTTTATTTAGTTTTATCAAATATCCAATTTCAAAGATTTAAAAATATTTTTAAATTACTTATAAAGCATTATTCTTTATGTTTCTATGGTCTTTTAAAAATTAAGAGATAATTACTCTCCCACCACTAATGATCTGTTTTATTGTTCACATCAAACACTTGTTTTGGTTTCTCCATGTGTTTTAAATGGAGATGAATTAGCAAGGCTATTTTGGTTACATGCTATTCTCAGCTAATTCACTGTGCAACTCTTTAGTCAAAATACGTCTATACATCATTCATGGTGTCAGCCCAGCTCTGTGAATAATAATTTTAAATTAGTGGTGGTTGCAAAATAAACAACTTGATACAAAACATTGTTTAATAAAAGATGCAGTAAATAACCTAGTCCTGTTTTAAATTGTTATTGTCTCTTGACATAGAAAGAATTGAAGATTTTTTTAATTGTTGATAAAACATTTAAATTGTAAATGTTTTATTGGCGCTTATGTATTAGACTATAGACATTTAACTTAGAAAATACTATAAATTAGCATTTATATCTTTTCATCATTACATTGGCATGTAATATCCACAGATCAGCACACTTTATTATGATTATTATTCATTTTGATAATAGAATTCCTAATTGTGAAATTGTTTTGGCTACTTTCTCACTTTATTAACTGTTTTACAAATGTGTTTAATTAAAAATATTTGCAAAAACATAGATGTGTGTATATAAAAGTACATGTTTACTTTTGCTAAATGCTGTATGATTTTGAACATTGATAGTTTATAATGACTTTGCATCCTTTTGAACATTAAAGAAGGCATATAAATAGATAAAGTACTAGTTTGAAGGCCAGACAGTTACTGGGAATGACTTTTGAGCCCTCACCTAAATGATCAGTCTTAGATTTCTGTAGAAATTAGGGTGTTAGGCCAGGCGCGGTGGCTCAAGCCTGTAATCCCAGCATTTTGGGAGGCCAAGGTGGGTGGATCACGAGGTCAAGAAATTGAGACCATCCTGCTCAACGTGGTGAAACCCCATCTCTACTAAAAATACAAAAAAAAATAGCTGGGCATGGTGGCACGTGCCTGTAATCCTAGCTATTCAGGAGGCTGAGGCAGGAGAATTGCCTGAACCCAGAAGGCGGAGGTTGCGGTGAGCTGAGATCGTGCCATTACACTCCAGCCTGGGTGACAAGAGTGAAACTCCGTCTCAAAAAAAAAAGAAAAGAAATTAGAGTGTTAGACTAGTTTACTATCTATTCCAAAGAGTCCCTGGAAGCAGAAACCACAAAAAACTGATTATAGCTTTCTGTTCAATGGGAAGGAATTAAATTAACCAAGCAACAATTTTTACTTACACTTACTTTTACTTACACTTTCTATTATACTTTTATGGGAGTTGAGCTTTATAAAGCTTGAGAAATTTATTATACTACATGTACAGTAATGAGCTATAGACTATGTTCATGTCCATTGAAATAAAGAATGAAATAAGATCATCAAAAGGATTAAAAGCAGAGTGAAAGTGGTTTATCAGATGATTATTATATCTAAGGAGCTATTTCAAGTATACTCATATGTAATATTACAATTCTGTTGTGTAGATGATATAGTAGAGTCTTGGAGGACTTCAATTACTTGTCCAAGGTTTAATGGCCACTAATGGCAGAACTGGGATTCAATCTATGCTAAATGACTCCAGAGACCTAACCATTAGGCAATACTGTGCTTCTAACTCCTCTCTCCTTCCCACCCCTCTTCACTCCATTTTTTAGTTAAATTTTTTATATATAATTATATATTTTTAAAAACTCAAAACATGTTGACATTCATTGGATATATCAAACTCTGAAACATCTTTTACTGCTCACAGAATTTCAGACCACAGGGTGAGATAGAAATATCATGTGAGGTGGAATCTAATCCATGTTTTATCATTTATCAAATGTGTGACCTTGGACAAATCATTTCACTTTTCAAGGCTTCCGTTTTATCATCTATGGAAGTGTAAAAATAATACTTGCTTTTCTCAACTGAAATGGTTTCAGTGATTGTTTATGATAATGGAACTTGACCTACAACATGCTATAAAAATGAGAGATTTTTGCTACAGAAGTGGCCAAATTATCTTTGCCCTGACATTTGTTTTCTCCAGCTGCAGGCGGCAGAAAATGAGAAAGTGAGGTGGGAACTAGAAAAAACCCAACTCCAACAGAACATAGAAGAGAATAAGGAAAGAATGTTGAAGTTGGAAAGCTATTGGATTGAGGCCCAAACATTATGCCACACAGTGAATGAACATCTCAAAGAGACTCAAAGCCAGTATCAGGCCTTGGAAAAGAAATACAACAAGGCAAAGAAATTGATCAAGGATTTTCAACAAAAGTAAGCAGCTTCTAATGATTAAAGAATAGTTATGTTTGCCTAAAGAAGGTTTATGTCCCATAATTTTGTCATTATCTAGTGGAATAGAAAAGATGACCTCAGAGATATCCTTCCTATCCAGGAGCATAGTTACAGCGTAAATACACATTAAGTTTTGGCAGTATGTCTGTCACTTTTTCATGAGATTATATTTTGTATGTTTTACAGTTTTTGACTACCAGGGCCTCTTGGTTATTTTTGACAAGTAATTGTTAATAGTAACTGTTAAAACATCTGAATTTCCTTATTCTTTTTGAAACACCTCTGTGATTTAGAAGCAAGAAGCCCAGCTGAAAGTTATGCGGAATGACCAACTATTGGATGTGGAGCATGCAAGCTGCAGTTGGGGCCTGGATCAGGCTGCTCCTCTCTATTCTTAGATCAGTAACTACAGAATTTCCCACTACAGATAGTGTAAATATCGACTAGCAGGGCCCCCTGCCCTGCCACTCTGCATTTCTCAGCTGTTGGGAGAATCAAGAGGGCCTCAGTTCACTGCAGTAAGAGAGACCATTACCACATTCTGCTTTTGGTTTTCAACAGCTGTTTCTGAGTTACTGCTCCTTTGTTTCCATCTCTTGAATCTCAGTGTAATGTCATAGAGACTGACCAGGGAGGTTTTTACTAGATTTTTTTCATCAGTTACTTCTGGCTCATCAGAACAAGTAAGTAGTGCCAGTAACTTTTCTAGTCTACAAAGCCAAGCCTCAGAAACTAAGTATAAATGTAAGATTCATATTTCTGTTATTTCCTATTATGGAAATAATGTTTTTAATATTTAAAAGGATTGCTATCAAAAGTTTCTTGTTAAAAGGGGAGTATTCTCTGTGACTATAAATTCAGTACATCACTGTTTTGATTTTTTGCCAAACTCTTTTTCATGAAATAATTTTATAGTAAATTTTGCTAAATTTGCTATATATTTTCAAAATAGAGTTAATTCTCTTCTACTCATATTATCCTTAGGTTTAAAAGTGAGTGCCCCTCTAAACGTTTCTGACCCACCCAGCCCCCTCTTCACTGTTACTCATAGATATAATTATTTTGTTTGAATTTTTACCATCTAGTTACAACTGTTTTATATGCTTATGACATTGGAAATATGGAATTATTTCTACCTGACAAGTAATTATCTCTACCAAATTACCCAACATGAGTCATTAGTGCAGTCATTCCTATCTAAATATGTTTGGGTGCTCTAGAATAGCAGCTACAAAAGAAAATTATAATAAGCAGAATCAAATGATTTTTCTTTGCCTTGTGACCCATTAAAGATGTTTTAGTTTCTTTCAATACTGTACTTTTCCCTCTAACTGATTGATTTTTGTCCATTTAAATAACTGTTCAGTTGCTTATCCTACTATGCAGTTATTGTTCCAAATAAGACCTTTCATTTATTGAGTGCTTGATCTAATCAGAACCATTATTTTCTTCTTAAGAGAGTTTGATTTCATCAAAAGACAGGAAGCAGAAAGAAAGAAAATAGAAGATTTGGAAAAAGCTCACCTTGTGGAAGTGCAAGGCCTACAAGTACGGGTGAGTTGTGTTCTCTGAGACACTAATTAATAAAGGTTTTGCTGTACTTGTAGAGGAGTGCTGATTTAGAGTTTTATGAACTCTAAATTTGTTTTTCCTAGATTAGAGATTTGGAAGCTGAGGTATTCAGGCTACTGAAGCAAAATGGGACTCAAGTTAACAATAATAACAACATCTTTGAGAGAAGAACATCTCTTGGCGAAGTCTCTAAAGGGGATACCATGGAGAACTTGGATGTCAAGCAAACATCTTGTCACGATGGCCTAAGTCAAGGTTCGTTTAACTCAACCACAAATATCATTTTTGATGACTGTGTAAGTTTTTGTTTTTCTGACCCAGAGATTTAAAAGTTGGAAATACCTTCCTACTATGGGAATCAAGAAAAGGCTTATCAAAATAGAAGTCAATCATTTCAGCTCTTGTCTTATCAAAAATAAATGCTTTAATATGTAGAATTAATAAATCCAAACTAAAAACAAGCCAAACACTATTTTTAAATTATCATAAAATTGACAGATTTAATAAACTGCCTTACAAATTATAGTTTCATGCCATTTAGGATGAACTATACTACTTGCATATTAATGAATTAGGTTTTATTTATTTATTTATTTTTGAGACAGAGTCTCACTCTGTCACCCAGGCTGGAGTGCAGTGGTGCAATCTCAGCTCACCTCAACCTTTGCCTCCCAGGTTCAAGAGATTTTCGTGCCTCAGCCTCCCGAGTAGCTATGACTACAGGCATGTGCAACCACACCTGGCTAATTTTTGTATTTTTAGTAGAAGTGAGCTTTTGCCTTGTTAACCAGGGTGGTCTTGAACTCCTGACTTCAGGTGATCCACCTGCCTTGGCTTCCCAAAGTGTTAGGATTACAGTAATGAGCCATTGCACCCAGCCAAGATTTAGAATTTTTAAGTCACTAGAATAAAGATCTTTTTCATAATGTCAGAAGGCAGACTGCTGCTTTCAGCACTTGAAATTCATTTAGTTAAAAAAAATCTTTACAGTTTTGTGCTTTTACATGGTATACTATGTATCCTTCTTAGGTCTCTCCTGTCAAAGACCAAATAAGACTAAAACTGGAAACATTTTATATTATAAATGACTGTCTTCATTCATACACCAAGGTAAATAGATTACTTATGTTCACACACACACACACACACACACACACACACACGGTACTTAGATTGTACATGTATGAACATGAATGACTGTTTTAATATCTATGGTATATTTTCAAATTAGAAAACATCGTGCAGCAAATCCCTCTTATAGTGGGCTTTTTAGTTTTTTTCATGATCTTCTTACATATTAAAATGTCTCCAGTGAGGTTTTCCTAATAAGCAAGTGTTTATATCCTATCATGAACTTTTAGAACTAAACTCATACCCATTAAAAATGGAAAGTATTGGAAGTCCTCATTTAAAATTAAAGTGATATCTAGAGATTTGAATCTATTCACTGGGTTTATATCCTTCTAATGGGTTTTCCCTAAATAGGATGTAATTTATAAACAGTACCTCTTAGGCAGCTGAAAGAGGAGGATTTAGCATTAGCATTACCACTAAGTGAGGAGCTGTGTGACTTCAGGAAGAGTATTCAGCTTCTCTGAGTTGATATTACTGTGTATATTATTTTAAAAGTCATACATCTTTCTTCCCCACTTTATGGGCTGTTTTGAGACTATATGATTTAGTCTTTGAAGCCAGAAATGTCATTTATTCAAGCTCTTATGGAATTATACTTTTTATACCTGGAACACTATAAGATTGATATCTAAAGAAAAACATTAGGACTCAAACCAAATTTTTTACTTTTTTGAATATTTTAATTTTTAAAAAATTATAGTTTATATATAATAAATACACATTCCTGCTGTGGCATACACAAACTATGAGCACTATCCAGTAGCTTTTCATTTCTTTTCATTTCTTTCAGTTTAGAAATCTGTATCTTGTCAAACATATAATTAATGATGTTTATTAAATTATATGACTACAGAAGATCAACACACTATGCTATTAACATGCTGATTTGGATCAAAACCTTACATTTTTTCTGAACTCTTTTTCTATTCTACACCCTCCATTTTGCCACATAATAATCAGTTTCCCTAGCAACACTGTCGGTTCAGTGACATGTGGAGACTACTAATTCTTACTGAAACCAATCCATGCTTGTGCAGTAGAGGTAGAAGCAGTCATCTGACATTAGTAGCATACATACAAAGTACACTTCCAGTTTTGCTGTGAGGACAGTCAGTGATAAATCTCTTTGAATTTCAATTACTCGATCACATAAACTAAAATTGCTTGGTCAGTAGCTAGATAGGACTGCTCTAGAAAGCACTTTTCTAAATTGATCCTTTGCTTCTATTGCTAGGGAACACTGAAATACTAGAGGTTTAGAAAGGGGAGTAAGGCTGCAGACCTAACATGGGCCGTTCCACATTTAAAGATCCACCACCATCATTTTGTACCAGGAGAGGATACTAGAGTTCTTGCCCATTAGATGTAAGTGTCATCCTTCCCACTTTCTACAGACTATCCCATTCTGATTTGCTTTTCAGGCACTGGAGTGGTAGGATGAGTGGTTTAGCATGTTTTTAGGCAGCTCATGAAGCAAAGGAATGATCAGGTGTAGGTCAATGAAAATGGTCAGAATGAAATAGTAAAAGAAAGGGAAGACAAGAGAACGAAGAAGAAAGGAAGAGCCTCTGAGCAGCTATTTCTTCATGTGTACTCATGCTCATCCAAAACAGAGAACTAAGAATGAATGAATGATGTGACTCTCAATATTGTATTATAAATTTTTGAGGAGTAAAACCTTTTTCTAAACCATATAGAAATCTAGCACAAATTTAGAATTATGTTTGACCACCATTTGTATGTTTCTCTCCAAAACCTAAGCCAACTCAAGTATCATTAAAATTTTGCTAACAATCACTGATACAAATTTGTTGTTTAATATATTCCAACACTTTTTTTTATCATGATTACATAAAGCAGATGTAACAAACTTTTTTCACCAAGAGTTATAACAAACCCTAATCCATTCTAGTTTATACCAGTGTGCTGGTTAAGTATTTTCCTGTGTTCCAGAAGAGGAAAAATGATGATAATGCCCTACTGCTATGTTTCATGCTTGTCATTTCTTAGTGCCTAAATAATGCCAGGATTAGGATAAAAACAGAGATTGGGTATGTTAGAGAGATCTTGGTAAGCTAAAAGCCTGTAATATTAGCTTTATTGGATTTTGTAGTAAAGTCACAGAAGCAACACATTCTGAGTTTCTAGATATTCCGATCCTAATGTTGATACTGTTTGCAGCTTCAAATATTTTTAGGCTGATTTGTTAAAGAAGGATTATGCATAATTCCATAGAGATACTGAAAGAAACACTAGGGCCAGTAGGTGGAAGTTACCTATGAAGGCACATTCTGACTAATCTACAATGAGAGGTCAGGAGTAAGTATGATATAATTTAAAAATTGTTTTGAATGCTGAAAACCTGCTTCCAGGCAGGATTTAGGTGGCACACTAACTTGTAAGAGAAAGAGTGGCTACTAGGCAAAAAGAAAGTACTAGGGCCTGCTGATTATCCTGCAAGGTATATGATTTGTGGGATCAAGGGTGAAAGAGAAAAAGGTTGGTAGGAGACAAATAAATAGAACTTAAGGTGCTATGTAAGCATCTTAAAAGACAAGAGGGAATTCAAAGAAAAAATAAATAAAATATAGCATTTTTTCTGATTCATAGTTTTTCTGTTAAAAAGGTAGTACCATTTGAAATGGTATAGTGTGTTCTTGGAGTAAAAGTGGTCTTTGACTGCAGAAGGGTTTGTATGTAATTTTGTAAGCACTGTGACCCATTTACAGTTTAGGTTGGTAAATGTAATTCAAGGATTTCTGTGAAGTTTGAATACTGCTACCAAGTGCTGCTTCATTCTCACACCTACCTACTCAGGCAGTGGACCACAGGTTAGGTAATACTGCCTGTTATCTTCCCAAAAGTGTGAACAAGGAGGGTTATATAAAGCGTTTTATACTTTGTTTTCTTGTTACTTACTGTTCCTTAGTGCTAATGAGAACTGAGCAAGAAGAAAAAGACTTAAATTGCAAGATTACAGGTAGGATTATAAAAGATTGTAGAAAAGTTATAATCTTTCCTATAAGATCATAGGAAAGTCTAGACTTTCAGAATAGATTGTGGCTGAAATTAATTACTCAATCTTGGATGTCTTTAAAAATAGGAATATTTCTTAGTTACTTCCCAGCTAACTTTAAGGAGGAAGGAGCATGAAGATATGAAAATAATCTCTTTTATTTCCTCTCCTCTCTCTTAGTCTTTTTCCACAAAATGGTTTGGCTGTTGCAATAAGACCGTAGATTCCTTAAAAATAGATCCCCAAGGTGATAGTCTGCACCTGTACCCTAAACCCAACCTCCTTGATCCCAAACCCAGAACTTGTAGACATGTGAGTGGAACTCTGAGTCAGCTTACACATTGAAGCCAGCCGGTTCTCTGGTCATCAGGCCCCATCTACTTGGTATTTGCTTCTTGTGACCCAGTTGTTACCATATTGTTTTACAGGGAATCTGATTTCTCTGAGTTTACTCCTCTGAAATTTACTCAGATTTAATAAATAGAGTCTTTCTTAGGAAGAAGAGAAAATAACAAACTGCCATTAAGAGTATCTGCTGTTTCCACTACCTGTGTGTTTTTAAATTCTTATAATTCATTTATTCATGTACTGTCTAGAAGTAACTTGGAGAGACACCTTATGTGACTGGATAGGGGAACTGAAACTGGCAAGATAAAGAGAATAAAAGAGTGGAACCAGAAATGATGCTGCAACCAAATATACCACAATTCACTTTTTATAAGGTTGGACCCTCAATTTGGCTTTAGGCTTTCTAGTTGTCAGAAGGAAAAGGAAACTCTTGTCAATTATATTATTCACAGTATTCATACAATAAAAACAAACTATCTGCTCAAGTCGGCCACAAGAGCGAGACTCCATCTCAAAAAAAAAAAAAAAAAAAACAAGTCTATCATGTATGTTAGGTCAAATTTTTTTTTTTTTTTGAGACAGAGTTTTGTTGCCCAGGCTGGAGTGCAATGGCACAATCTCAGCTCACTGCAACTTCCACCTCCTGGGTTCGAGCAAATCTCTTGCTTCCGCCTCCTGAATAGCTGAAATTACAGTTGTTGGCCACCACACCCCACTAATTTTCTTTGTATTTTTAGTAGAGATGGGGTTTTACCAT